TGTTCTTCCTGGTCAAGAATGAAGTTTGACACCATTAGGAAATGAGCAGAGTAAGTTCTGGCATATTGGACAGTTGGTCTGAGAGTGATGCAGGTTCGGGAATGTGGGTCAGCTGCCGTTATACCCTGCTCAGTCCTGCAGTGGTACCCCGTGGGAGAGGTGGGCCTGCTCGAGTGTTCGCTCTGCTCCAAAGTTCAGGCTGTCTGGCTTCTGCTGGGAGGAGAGGATTGGGAGCCTCTGCAAGGTGCATTCCTATCCCTTTTTTGTCCTTCCATGGGAGGACAGGAAGGGTCACTCTCCCTACCAGATGAAGAAATAAAAGGTGTGCTGAATTGTCCTCATTTTCTCTAAAATGGGTTCTAGTCTATTGGAGTTGGGAAACACATCAGAGTCTTGGGAGGGAAAACAAAGCTGGTTTAAAGCCATGTTTTACAGTGTCCCATTCGGATCATGAGACGATGACGGTCGAGCTGTGTTCAGCCTGTCACACACAACTGAGCTGTCACTGAAACACAGCACGTGAACAGGACTCCACTGTTCTCTTTCCTGGGAGAAGAGTCTTCTTTGTCAACCTTATCTCATAATTTTCAAACCTTGAAGAGCAGTAGCTGGCTACTTCAAATAGAAAGCCACATAAAGGACAAGGACATACTACCCTGCATGTGGATAATGTTCTGGAAAATACCGATGAGAGGCACCTGTTTAAGACAGTGATTAGCATCCCACTGTGAAAACCAGGTCTAGGATGCCTTGGTTTGCAATGCTATCTACCCGAAAAAAGAAAGAAGTGCCATCTCTTTTCACCAGAGTAAGATAACAAGTGAATTCTTATTTTTAAGAGGGTTCGTGTACTTGCAAGAGAGAGACATGGGAACCAGCAGTTAGCATAATGGCTATGTCGCTGGACCCCCACATAGTCGACCACGGTTTGCGTCCCGGACCCAGTGGCTTAAAACTCACGTCAGGCGCGTGTGCGTGCGTGCCCAAGATCCCGAGAGGAGAATGGAGAACGGATTGCGGCGTGACCATCATCCCAGGGGATGATTTCTCGCTTTCTGTCTCTCTGTCTCTGTCTGTCTGGAGAGTGCACGCACCCTATAGTGAAAACCTCTGAGAGAGAGAGAGACAGACAGACAGACTGTGGGAGAAAGTGCGAAAGCATCGCCTAAGGAGACTATGCATGCTGCAGTCCGTTCTCCATCTCTTTCTCCTTTTGGTATTTTGGGCACAAACATGCACACGCCTGGTGTGTTTCTCAAACTGCCTGGTCCAGGACTTGAACTGTGTGGTTGTCCATGTGGGATCCAGCTGCTGGCCCAGACTTGTGAATTCTTAACTCACACATAAACTTTATCTTTTCTGAAGAAATGATTATTAGAATGATAAGCTTCTAAGCTCTCTGCTGCTGGGCTCTTTCTTCTTCTTCTTCTTTTTTTTAATACACCTCCCACCTCTCAGCTCCGTGGAAGAAAAGAATCTGAGCAGGCTCAACATTTAGAGAATACTATTTCTGTATTATTAGCTTTTTATTATATGCTAGGAAGAAAATGAGAAAACTTCAAGTTTACGATCTCTAGGTTGCACCGTCATGGCCCTGAGATTACAGAAGGCTCCAGGCAGAAGTGGATGTGTAGACAGGCACATGCCAGGGTGAGCCCAGAGAAAACCAAGACTAGAAAGGCTGAGCTCAAGGTCGTTTGGTCCAGCTCCAATTCTAGGTGTCCTAGCTAGAGCACTGAAAACATCAGTATTTATTTAGTCAATTACTTTGTGGGGACCAGCAGTTGGCGTAATGGCTATGTTGCTGGACTGCCATGTAGGTGACCGTGGTTCGAGTCTCAGACCCGGTGACTTAAAGTCATGCTGGGCGCGTGTGCATATGTGCCCAAGATTCTAAGAGGAGAATGGAGGAAAAGGAACTGCGGTGTGGCCATCCCCCCTGGGGGGTGATTTCTTGCTCTCTGTCTGTCTTTCTGACGCGTGCATGTGCCCTATAGCAAAAACCTCTCTCTCTCTCAAAAAAAAATTACCTTATGAATGCCCACCAATAACCTCAGTCCTTCGGTTATAAGCACACCTGCAGATGGAACATGATTTATACACTGCAATGAGGCTTTCTGATTCTGATAAATGCATTCAATGGGCTTATCTCATGGCTTGTGGGCGCTTCTCCTGAAGTTGGCTTTCCTCCAGCAAAGCATGCACACAAAAGGCCATAGAAAGCAAATCCCTACTGAAGGCAAGAGTAGTTATTCCTTGTTGCTGTTATGACTTTAGAGGCGGGGAGGTCCAATGAGCCAGTCCAAGAGCTGGGTGGGCTTGGGTGGAAGAGTCAGCTCTTCAGGGCTGAGCACCTGCACCTTCCCTCACAGGCCTGAAGGCATTTCCTTGGCTGCCAGCTCACCTCACCTGCATTTATGCCATCCCACCAAGCCTGCAAGTGTGGTTTCATTGAATCCCGACTTTATTACAGTAGTTTTTTAAACTGTGTGTAAGCACGCCCCCTACCCCACATATCCACACACCATCTGTTTTTGGAATAAAGGCGACAACTTCAGGCTGTGCGGGGATGTGGTGAGGGCAGCACAGGAGCAGGATGGGATCCTTCTCGCTCACTCTAACACAACGATGTTACAGCTGCAAGGCCCAGTTGACATGTACCTTCCATGCCCTTCTCTTCAGACTCATAAGGAGGGAAAGGAATCCAGAGAAATCCCCGCCACCCCTAGGGACCAGACTATGGTGCTCTGACACTGTCTACTGTGGTGCAAGGGGAAACGCAGTGTCTCCCATACCAAAGCAACGTGGACGGTGAATTCCACCCCGATGCCGACAGAAGCGATCAGGATGACCACGGGCACGGCGCTGAGCTTGATTCCAATGAGGCCCATCATGCCGAAGAGCTCGACCGTCATCAATGCCAGGACCATCACCTTCAAAAAAGCACACAGTGACCAGTGAGGGCACAGCCCGTGCTCGGGGTGATAGAGCTTGTTGAAGGAACTAGAGCGGCCTCATTCAGATCGTGGGCCACAAGCAGCGCAACCTCTGCGACCCAAGTCCAGGGAAAGTACTGGCTGGCTTTAACTATGGACAACTGTCATTACTTCCTCATTCTACTTCCTGCCAGGAGTGGGGGAGGGGAGACTGGGGCAGAAAAAAGGAGCTCAGTATTCTAATGCAAACTGTTTCTCCAACATACCTGCTCTTAAGAAACAAGACTTTCAAAACTACTCCACCAGAGCACTTAAAAAATTGTAAAGTGGGGGCAGGCCTTCAAAAAGTTCACAGAAAATGCGTATTATGAAAGAAGGAAGTGCGTGGGCTTCACATATCTTTTGTACCCAAATAAATTCATGCTGCAACTCCCCCCTTTCCACGAACTTTTTGACGCGCCCGCATGCAATCATGGACTCATTACTTAGCTACCAATCTCATGGAGCCGACAAGGTCTTTCCTTCTGTTTTGCTCATAAGCATCAGGGACCCTCCTTGGACCCCTAACTCAGTTGAGAGGTTTTTGGTCACTGCACCCTCCTCAGCCTGAAGGATGGGGAAAAGACAAGTCCTGGTGTGCTACATTGGAAGCCCACAGACTAAGTGAGGATGACTCGGGGCGCGGGAAGCCGGCAGGCTACCATCAGCTGACCCGTGTCAGCTTACAGGACCCCTGTGTTGGCAGAGATGTGGAGCAACTGTGTAGACAAAGCACACAGTTAAATGCAAGGAAAAAACCCCATCTGCCTTTCATCTTCCTTGTAAAACTCTGTGAGGGGAATAGCGGGAAAACACAAATGAAACAACAATCTTGACGCAAGTGGAAGCGAAGGAGAAAATGCTCTTTCTTTCTGGGAGGTGGGAGAGGGCCATGGTGGGGGGTTATAGTGAAAGATGAACAAGAGCAATTGCTTAAGTGCCACGAACAGTCCTGCAGACTAAACATTTACCTCTGAACGTACCTGCTGCGCAGACTCGTGGAGCAGAAAGAAAACCTGGTCTCTGTTTTTATAATTGTGGCGTTTTAAAGGCTGTACCATAGTGCGTGGAATTTAAACACTGCCAGGATTTTATTAGACTCTACATAAAACTTCCAATCGGAGAGTATTTTGGAGAAAAGAGGCCAAAAATAGGCCAGTAGTAGTACTTTGTCGGCACCCCCACCCCATGCAACTGCCTTGGAAACCCCTTTCTCCGTATACCATTGTCCTGACTGCTCTGGCGATCCCTCCATGTTAAGGAGAGTAATAAAATCTCTGTATTATTAGGTCTTGGATGAGGTCACAAAACACTACTTGAATTAAAAAAAAAAGAAAAAAAAAGAGTTATGCTTGGAGTGTTTTTATTTAATAAATGCTTGGTGCTGTTATGGGCAGTGTGCTTAGAAAGTCCCCTATCTTTACACAAAAAGCATCAAGCTGTAGGAGGGCCACAGGAGGAGGGCCACGAGAGGCTCTACCTTAGCTGTGAACCTCCCCACTTCCAGAAGAATAAATATATAATGGATGATGCAATCTACACCCTCCCCCAGAGGCCCAGACATAAACAAGACTTCCCGGCTGCAGAAAAAGCTATGCTGAAAGGAATTTGACTTCCACAAAGACCCTTGTAACAAACTCACAATGATCCCAGCCGTCCAGGGGTTCAGGAGGAAGACGGCGCACACGAGGAACGTGCAGGCCAAGACCACGCTGATGGAGAGCAGCAGCCAGTGGCGGGGGGCGGTGAAGAGGAAGGGGTAGCCGTTGGGGTAGCTGGAGAGGCCCAGACTCGTGTAGTTGTTGCAGATGGTTCTGACCTTCTCGATCGCTTCCACAAAGTCTGAGGTGTCTCGCAAGCCATTGAGGTAGAAAGGGAACTGAGCGTATTCAATGGGCTCTGCTGCTGGGACTGGACAGAGAAGGCCACAGGTTAGGAGAATGCCTGGGGCGGAGGGCTCCGCACTTGGAATGAGAAGACTTAACACAGAAGCTCCCTGATAGCACTTGTTCATCCCAAACAAGAAATAATACCGGGACTGGCAGGTGGCATGGTGGCTAAGGTTCAAATACCGAACCTGATGGCTTGCTTTCTCACCTTCCCTCTGGTTTTATTCAAATTAAAAAATAATAACAATGATGAATAAAATTAAATAATTTTTATAAAGAAACAATACCAATGGTAGGCTCTAGGTCTTTTTCATTTTTGTATTTCTCTCTTTTGTTTTCTGCCATAGGGTGTGTACGCTTGTCAGAGATAGAGATGAGAGAGAGAGAGAGAGAAAGAGGGAGGAGAAAGCATCCCTTAAAGGGACATGGTGATGCCACCATCCCTTTTCCTTGCTCTATCCTGTTGGTGTTTGGGCATGCACACGTGCCCAGAGTGTTTTCAAGTCACCAGGGCCAGGACTGGAACTGCGCAGTTGGCCATGTGGGCTCTGGCTCCCTTAATTACGAGGCCATGAGACAGGCCCTAAAGGTTTTTAAACAGTGATCCATCTTTCATTTTAAAAGGTGGTGTGGGGCTAGGGAGCAGCCGGTGATCTGTGTTAATGTTGTAACCTTGCATTTTAATCTTCTAGAAATGGATGCTCCTAGTGAGGGGTTGAAACAACTTCAGGCTTAACATGTCAGGAACATATTTTGTTCCACTGACAGCCGTGGATATTGTAAGTTCAGACTATTTCCCTCAATCGCAGACGAGGGCAAACTACTTGAGTCATGCTTTACTGAGAAAAACGCTTAACTTTCTTATCCTTTTAGGGATCTAACCAACTTAAACCTTCCATGCTTCTTTTCTAATGCAATGCTAAGTCTTCAGCAACAGGGAAAGAAATCCTTACACAACAAGCATTTAGTTTCTGCCGTTGTGTGTTCCAGACCCTTTGGGGTCATTCAGTTGACTTGCTAAACATGATTTGCCCTATTATAATCTCAACTATAAATTTTCATTAAGACAAGCCTTGGCTGCTTGCCACAAGGCTCTGGGGTTTGATACAGGGAAGCACGGCTCGCTCACTCTCCAGCCAGGTTTGCAAAGGCACCCGTCTTCTTTCTCACGTCCTCCCTTGGCCCAATCTCCAAAGCACTAGCTACTAATATCTCTAACATAAATGCAAATGAAATCCACACAGAACCACCTTTCAAACTCTGGGCTGAGAGGGGAAAGGAAGAGCACACTGTTGTATGGGCTTCTTTGCTCTGGTTTACACAGCTTTGACAGAGTACAGGTGCTTGGTGGCTTATAGGAATGACCCAACGTGCCAAAAATCCCTTCCACACCAGAGTTGACAAAGTTAAGATAAACATATAATCCCCAGCGATAAAACTCTGCCACAGTAAAATAACACTCAACCTGGAGGCGTCCCCGACTTTCACATGGAACAGCTGGCACGCAACAGCAATGCCTGACGGACGCCCGAGAGTTACAGACGGAGATTAGGGACGCTCAGAGCTCTATGTGACAGAGTGAGGGCTTATATTCCATTACACAGCCTCATCTGTCTCCCAGAGTTTTAAACGAAGAGAAATATATTGTTCTGTTTACACTTTTGAACCCTGGGCAGCGTCGATGGAGCAGGCCTGTTGCTAATCTTTGAAGAAGAGGGTGAGGCGCCTCCATGAGCTCCCTGGTCCTTGGAAGGCGTGCTACTTACTCCGCAGCCTGGTTTCTGGCATGTAGTCAGCTTTGTCATGTACCCACTCGGGTCGGTGGGGCCGGATGTTGGCCTGGGAGGCGGCGTAGGCGACAGGATCGTTGCTGACCCAGGCGGTCAGGTAGATGTAGAAGGCGCTGGGATTAATGATGCCATCTGCGTCCACCAGACGCTGTTTAGTCAACTACAAAATGGGAAGAACAGAGGCCCTTGAGAACGGGGGTTAGGGTAAACACCCTTCTTGCCTGGAGAGAAAAGACGCCTGAGTTTGCACCAACATTTACAACCAAGATGAAAATGCCCTGTTTGAAAGCGTCAACAATTCCATCAGAGCACCTCTGATTTCTTTCAAAACGCACTTAGCGGAGGATGCAATCGCCGGCGTGTTTATAACAAACACACAGTTCTGCAGATGGCCCAGGAATTGGCTGAACCAATTAAATCTGAATGCTAAAAGACAGTCTGCAGCCAAGACGCAGAATGAACAATCTGGAGAAACATATTTATAGGAGGGGAAGGGGGGGGGGACCTGGCAAGAATCCCCATCCACGTCTGTGTGCAGTTAACCTCTGTTGTTAACACTGAAGGAAATGCCACCCAGTAAATGGAGGAGAGCTATAAAAATAAAACAACATCTGTATAAATTTTGCTAACACTAGACACCTATGACCTGTGTATCTCAAAAATGCCCACTGCCAGAAAGTGGAAGAAACCTGTGTACGGCCGGGGCCTTCTGGGGCAATCTTATTTCTGAGAGGTGGTCACACAGAGAGAGGGAAGGAGGGAGAAGGAGAAGGCATCCCCTAAAGGGACATGGTCATGACACCATCCCTTTTCCTTGCTCCATCCTGTCGGGATTTGGGCACGCGAACATGCGTGTGTGGGACCTTGGTGAGGCCAGGGACATGTTCCCTCTACGGTAGGTCTTGTGGGCTTTGCTTAGGTCAAAAATTGCCGTGAGATTTGAGTGTGTGTATGTATGTTTTATATACATAAAAAATTTTTTTTCCTGTTTACTTTAGATTGAGGCCTTGTTCCAACACTTTTGGTCTTTTTTTAACAAAATGAAAAACACCAGTGACAGCAGTTAGTACAGAAAGAGCGAAGGAAGAACGCATGGAGGAGAGCAAGGGAACTCGATTTCAGGGATCTGGATCCAATTAATCCACCGGCTACGAAACAACTGGATGTCTTCAAACTGTCCCTGGAATTAGAGCACCGTGCGTGGCCCCCAAGCATGCGGCTCGCCTTCTCCCTCCCAGGCAGAGGAAATGTATCTGACCTCCTGGCCCGATCACACTGGCCCCTTGGTGTCCCTGGTCAATCCCAACCCTGGGCATCTCGGGCTCTCTCTAGTGCAGGCTTCTCTGCCCACCCTCGTCAAACCTGACAGCCCGAGTGTCACACTCTATAGTAACTGTGAACAATGGACTTTGTAAATCTGTCACCTTTAATGCCAGCAAAAAGGAGACAGTAAACAAGACTGCTGAGATGATTATGAGCACAACGATGTTCTGCCTGAAGGTGAAGGAAGCAAGCCACGACGGGAGAGGGAAGAGGACCGTGGAAGCCCTGAGCCGCGCGGCACCCGTCTGCAATCCCGAACCCCTGAAGAATCAAATGGCATGTGCTGGAATCCCAGGGTCCCACGGAAGATGCAAACGCAGTTGGAGAATGTGATTACCAGACGGCTCCCAGTCCCCGAGGGAGTAAGCGGGATGGTGCAGCCAGCAGGTATCAAGGATCACACGTCCAAACGCTCTGCTAGGGACAGAGCTGTCTGTCTCTACTCGCTCTCTACCCAGTGGGCCGGGGGGGGCTTAAAGGAATCAAATGTATGAATCCTCCCATCCTCCTCCTAGTAACTGCTCCCGTCTCCTGGACCCAACCACTCACTCCAAATGCTGCTCAGACTCCTTCCTGACTGCTACTACTCCAAGTTAGAATACGGTCAAGCCCAACGTGGTAGCAAGTACTGGAATTTAAAAGAATAGGACCCAGCATTTCTAACACCCGAAAGAGCACCCACTGGCTCATTTGAACTTTCATTTTCTGACCACTCCTCTGCAGGCGGGTACACGCCGGTCCCACTTCACCGATGGGGCAATGAGGCAGGGCTGGCCTGAGGTCGCACTATTAGCTCCATCCCCTCTCTACCAGCGCCGCTGCCCCAGGTCTCCAGGGGACACGGGGTGGAAGCTCACACTGTCCACCAGTCTTTCGGAGGGCCTCTGCCCCCAGAGCTTTCAAGGCGGCGCCCAGGAACTCCCGTGGCAGAGCAGAGAGCCTACCTGGCTGATGTCGATGGGCTTGTCGCGGCTGCCAGTTTGCACCAGAAGTTTGTAGGCCAGGACCCCATCATCCGATCCATTTTTGTAATTGTTTGGCATGATTTTCCCAGTTTCCCAGTCACTATCAAATGCATCCTGAAGTCCTAGGGAGACAAATATGCACAATACTATGTTAGCAATGGT